CCTTCAATGCTACCAATCATAAAACAATAAAATATTTAACCATTATAGTCATAGAATATATAGAGATTAGATACATAAGTTTGAAATAATTGTTCAATATGTCCAACAATTATTCTCTTCAAATTTAATTCCCTAAGAGCAAAAAGTCGACTTCTACCGAAACTGACTTGGCAGAAAGTCGACTTTTTTAAGGACAAAAGCGAAATTGCTGCGCCAGATAGTTCTTGCAGTTATGGCGGATCTAAAAGAGGATCAGGATAAGGCCAAGTGGAAACATCCTTACAGGTTAGGTATGGTGTGTTATTAATTATCATCGATAATTAAGACCTATTGAATGCAACCTCTCCATTCTGAACCATTTTTCAGAACACCAGAAATGGAGGAACCTGTGTTCATGCATTTTTCGTGCGTTCTACGGAAAATCAGTCCGGAATAGGTGGTTTATAAAGAGGTGTACGAAACGAATAAGATGTATATGCGAGGTGTCACGGCGATAGAACCCGAATGATTGCCGAAATTCGCTTCCATGCTATGCCATCTTAGTGAACCATTGGTTGATCCATCGCCAAGGTATTTTTATCACAATTGTTGCTTTATAATGTTTTTCCTATTTATTTATAAAGATATTAATCTTCATTATGATCGAATATTATTCTCATTTATAGATATAATCAAGGAATCGGGAAGATCATTTGTCGCGCGTGTCTGGTACATTTGGAAAGGCCGCATGGGCACTACCATCGATGGATATAGAGCATCCGTGGACGATGTCAAGTGGTTCGCGTATTTCTTCTTGGAGGGTCAAGCTGAAACGATTTGTTCTGTCGCTGCTGACGATATCTAGGAGCATCACCAAGTTATGGGCCAGGTAAATCGTTATTCTATCTCCTTTTAATTTCACGTTGATTCATCGAATAGATTACATCAATTCAATACGATTTTTTCAGGTTGATACCACGCACTCAAGCAATAGTACAAACGCTGCAGTCGCAGGGAGTCGTATCCAAATACAAACTGCTAGAAATCTGGGGTTCGGATAAAAAATGTGAGATTTTAATTTATAAAATAATATTTAAGACTTCTATACAATACTAGACCGCTGACAGGTATCTCGGCCGTGATGCTTGTCAACTTTAGTCGACTTTTAGTCGGCGTTTTTTTAGACATTCGCCGACTTCAAGTCGACTTTTGTCTTTAAAAAAGTCGACTTCCCGCCAACTTTTAAAGTCGATAAAATAAACCGCCGCGTACGTCTGGAGGTCGGTTGTGTATCTTGAAACGAGGTGAAAATGACAAAAGTTAACAGATTTTATTAGATTTTGATAAATAAAATCGTAGATACGCTAATAAATTTTCTCACTTTTGTAATTTTTACCTCATTATTTCAGTCATTTCAGTCAATTAATTGCAATGCAGCCAGTCATTTTGGAAGCTGAGAATACGAGACCAAAAAGCGTATTGACGTTTACGAAAAGGTTATGTTTTCACATGTGTTTGGTTCAAAAATGGCGGACGAGAATACTCACATTTATAGAGCCTTAAGTAGAGTTGTGCCAATATCGCGGTAACTTTGTCTCACTCCCACTAACGTCTTGTCGATAAATGGCGAACCAATATAGCTTTGTCTCACTCCCACTTATAGCTTTGTCTTACTTCCACTAAAGAACCAAAAGCGCTGATCGGGAAATGGCGGAGCCAATCAGCGAAAGGAACACCATTGGCTTAAGTCTTGTGTCCACGATGCTAGAACTGCGTCCGAGTTTTGGTTTAAGCCAATCAACTTGCAGTTCTTACAGAAAAGTAGCAGTTTCATTGGCTTAAACCGAAACTCGGACACAGTTCTAGCATCATGGACACAAGGTTTTAAGGCCTTGGCACATAGAAAAACTTAAGCAGTAAGAAATCAACGGATATGGGCCTTGGCACATAGAAAAACTTAAGCAGTAAGAAATCAACGGTTTGGATTTGCTGCCGCTTAGGGCCGTGCCTTAAGTTCTTGACTGTGATTGGCTGATTTGCTTACTGCTTGAGTTTTACTGCTTAAATTTTTCTATGTGCCACGGCATTATGGATTCGCTACCGCTTAGGGCCGTGCCTTAAGTTCTTGACTGTGAATTTGCTTACTGCTTGAGTTTAGTAAGGTTTCGACCAATCGCGTTGCTCAATTCTTACTTCTACGGTTACAGACGGCCGAATCGAGCAACGCGATTGGTCGAAACCTTACTGTTACGTTCTACGAAAAAGTGTGTGTGCTCTGCTTAAGGGCCATCTACAATGAGTCGCAGTCGTAAGAGTCGTAAGAAATTGACCAATCACAGTCTATTATTCTCCTTGCGGACGAAGAATAATGAACTGTGATTGGTCAATTTCTTACGACTCTTGCGACTGCGACTCATTGTAGATGGCCCTTTAAAGGCCATTGCACGTAACAAAGAAAAGAAAATAGACCAATCACACTCGATTATTTTTCGAGCTCAAGGAGAATAATCGACTGTGATTGGTCTATTTTCTTGCGGCCTTACAATTATGACTAAAAGTTTGTTAGTGCTCATCTGCAATAGGTGTTTTAAGCCCTAAGCCCTAAAAATTGACCAATCACAGTCAATTATTCTCTTCAAATTCAATTGTGATTGAACAATTTCTTAAGGCTTAGGGCTTAAAACACCTATTGTAGATGGACTTACATGCAATGGCCTTAACGTTGAAGGAAAGCATAACAAGTTCACTGAAGATTAAACTGCGTTCAATTTTGAACGCAGTTCACAGGAACTCTTGGAATTGAACCACGTTGGAGGAAACAGACATTAAGGATCTCTTTAGGATACAATTTATATCGTTTTCTCTTTCTCTCTTATATCTCTTTCTCTTTCTGTTTCTCTTGCTTTTTTGAGGAGAAATGGCGGATCAATTAAAAGTCTGTTAAGCCCCGGACACACGAATCGACGGAAGACGTAAGACGTAAATCGTAAGGAAATCCACTAAGGGCCAGTCTACAATGGATGTTGTAAGTCGTAAGTCGTAAGAATTGACCAATCACAGTCGATTATTCTCCTCAAATTCGACTGTGATTAGTCAATTCTTGCGACTCACGACTTTGCGACTCGCATTGTAGACCCAGCATTACTGTTACGAAAAAGTGTGTGTCCGGGGCCTTAAGCCAATCAACTTGCAGCTCTTACAGAAAAGCAGCAGTTTCATTGGCTTAAACCGAAACTCGGACCGATTTCTAGTATCGTGTATGTATATATGTACACAAGGCTTTAATCAGAGTCGACTATTCCCCTCTTCTTCCCTCTTAAAGAGGGGAATAGTCGACTATTGGTGGATTTCCTTACGATTTACGTCTTACGTCTTCCGTCGATTCGTGTGTGAAGGCCTTTACCGTATGGCCATCTCGACAAGAGTGAAAACGCACCTTTCGCTAAATGAAAAGCACCCATTATAGGGGGCTCTACTACCATTATTACATGTATGTATGTACATACATACTACTATAAAGAAAAGTAAGATGTTTCCTGTAATAGAAACAGCTGTTCTATGTTGAAAAGTCACTCATAAAGCAAGTAAATAATAAATTAGGTACAATATAGTGGCTAAAATCGATATTTTATATTAAATGAAAACAGATAATAGAAAAGTAGAAATAGTTGACAAGATTTATTGATATGAGTATAATATAACAATTTGTGATTCTGTTGTCCTGAGTGATAATTGAAATATTTCCACAGAAATATTTCCGACATAAAATGTTGTAAACTTTGTTTTAGTCTTCTGTAAGTCTGGGAATTATATACAACGTTAATAATTACGATTTTCAGCATGGACGTGGTGACTACTAGCTTAGAAGCTCTAATACGTGAGTATGATATGAGTCACACAATTAATTTACAATGTTTACAATGTTTTGCTTCCTGTTTAAATGTGGCAGATTTTAAATATTAATTCAACTCACATTTATTTTGCTGTAATATTTGTTTGTATTATATACATGTACATACAAATACATGTACGCACAGTATTCCATTGTAAGTGGTCATTTCTTTATTTCTTAAAGAAGTGGACGTAGTAAGAAATACAAGATTGTAACAAATTAAACGGTTCAAGTTGAATGTATTTGTAAACATAGTCATTCATAAAAGTTATCTATATTAAAAATTAGAGATGTATAATTTGTTTATTGTTACATATCTTGATGTATTAACAATTGTAATACTATTTGGAATAAGTACATGATTTGGCATAATTTGGCTAATGTATGATTTGGCATAATTGTTTATAAATCATATATATTTTATTGATTCAAAATTTTATAGATAACTTCTATCTTTTTATTTTTGCTGTGCAATAATGCTGGCTTCTCAACTCTTGTATTGATGCAGATGATAGCGTGTTATATGTCAGCCAATACAGAAATTAGAAAGGACTCCGCACAAAACCAATGGAAAAATAGCCCCAGTCAAATTAGCTCAGTCAAGTTTTAGTATGATGAAATTCAGACTGTACTGATCAAAAGTGTCAAGGGCTGCAAGTTCAGAAAATGTCCAGTTTCCGAGATACTTGGTCTCAAAGTGTTGAAATAGATTACAATTCATGAATAAAAGAAAAATCATCGTCGATTTCAACACTTTGAGAACAAGTATCTCGGAAACTGGGCATTTTCTGAACTTGCAGCCATTGAGATTTTTAATCAGGACAGTCTGAACTTTATCATACTAAAACTTCAGCTAATTTGACTAGGACTACTTTTCTATTGGTTTTGTGCGAGGTCCTTTTGTATTGAAAATTAGAAATAAAAAAGTAGAAATAGTGTGCAAATTTCAAATCAATAAAACTTGTATAAATTGTCTTATAATTCCAATAAGTCATACATTGTACTTGTTTCAAATAATGCTATAATTTTTTGTATATTAAAATATTCATAGTATGATTCATAGTATGATAAAAAGTTATATATATATATATATATATATATATATATATATATATATATATAT